GGAAATGTAGTAGCTGAAGACTTGGAGGGAAGACCCTCCGATCATTCGGGTGACAACAGCTCTAGCATAAAAATCGTAATATGATCGACAAAGTGGCTCCAGGAAAATCTTACATCGCATTCAATCTGAAATGTCTTACATATTTAGGTGACTATTTGAAATAGTGAATTTCTAGAAATAATTGAAGAGCATCGATTGCGTTAATGTGTGTTCATCAAATGAACCCCAGTTAATCTTGAATTTATTCAGGTACTTGGAATCCTTGGAATGACCGTCGAAGATGGGTATACAATGTTTACACCTTTGTCATGCTATTTGTAATGGCATCCAGAATAAATGGATACATCATAACAGCTCGAGCACTTCAGCACAATTTTCTCCAGCAGACACTAATGCTTGTGGTGATATCAACATTCAGTGTTGGACTTCTCAAGCACATCAACACCCTGTGGCATCATTCAAACGTTTTATTCCTGGCTAGATTACTCGCTTGGGAGAGATCTACAATATGTTCAACACAAGTCGGTGAGTTACAAAATTGATTGACACATCGCCATTATAATTTAAGGATAGCTCTCTACAGGGATGAAGTACTGAGGAAAACCATGAAATTTACAAAAAATGTAACACTCATTTGGCTGTGCCTTGGGACTTTCGATTTGCCGCTTTTCTATCGCGAGTGTCTAGACGAAAATCACAGAACAATCAATCACCTGCCAATAAGGTAAGATTCAGTGGTTGTAATCATCAGATTTTTTCTCTATTATCTGTAGAATCGAGTGTGAAAATTGAAGATTATTTCAGGGAAGTATTATTTTCATTTTCTAATGGCGTTGAGTATTTTTTAAAATGATTTTTGTTGGCAGCTACACGGTTCTGAGGAATTTATTGGAGCCATTGAATTTTTTGGTGATCTTGCTGATTGATTTCTTGACATTTCTCATATACTGTTGTTCGATTATTTCGAATGACTGCCTATTTCTTGCTCTCATGCTGCATATTGCAGCGCAATTCAAAATTCTCAATTTCCGTTTGAAAACGTGCACTGCTGTTGATGATGATTATCAGATTGGCGATGAATTTGATACGAATTCCATCGGCACCAAGGGCCCGAAACACTCGGCTCCGTATTCTAGTCCTAACCATCAACTCATTATTTGTATTCAACATTATCAAAAAATTTTTGGGTAATTCAGTGTTTCGACGAATC